AACTGTTGCAAGATATGCCCACCAAGGGGGGAGGGGTTAAAAGGAATTTGGTGGTATCAATAATTCTAAACCCAGAATATGATCAATAGAGAAAAAGACAATCTATTGATGTTTTAAGAACACTGTTCCTATGAGGTCATTAAACCTAATCTCATGGGTTAATTTTTTCCTTGTAATTTCGACTGACTTTGATTTTATTAACTTTCACATCTCAACCACTTGAACTTTTATATCAGGGGTTCCCAAGCATTTTCCAGTGTAGCCCCATCTAGTGCTGTTGCTTATCCAGTGCAGTAAGTCATTACATACACTGTATATGAGAATTCTTAGAATAAATACGGACATATTTTTATACATACGGGTAAGTACTTAACTGTTAAAACAAGTTAGGAAAATGTATTACATAGTTCAGGAGTTTAGAAGTAAACACTGGCAGAAACACATTACAACTCTGTCAAGATTAATACTTGTTTATATCATCATTTAATGTGCTATTCCTGGGGGTATAATTACACAGTTAAGCTATTTTGTTAGTTACAACTCTGTTGTATTCCGTATACGACGTGTGTGTGTGCATCATCATTTAATTAATTTTCAATAAGTTGCATGTCATAATTCATAAGTGACATGTGTGCATTACCATTTAATAAATTTTCTGTTAACTAAGGGTGTAAATATGTGATCAAACAACGTAGCATATAATTTTTTAAGTTACAACTCTGGCGTATGTCATATACTGTACTACAACTGTGTCATATTTCATATCTGTCATGTGTATGTCATCATTTGACTGATTTTCTATACCTGGGGGTATTTGAGGTAAAGCAACATAACATACAACTCTAAGTTGAGGCTAGAAACACTGTATTGTTACTTCAATAATTTTTTTTATAAATACCATTGATGAAAAAGTTGCATCACAGACATAAGTACAGTAGTTCCAAATTGTACCAGAACTTTGATAGCTCAATTTTTAACCGCTGAATGTATCTTTGATAAATCCAAAACTTTGCTATTCACCCTTTACTCATTGCCAGCCTGAAAATCTGACAATTTGAGTGCAAAAGTGCCTCATTGTTTTACATCTGTCTTGAATGGAAACTGAACAAAATCTAAAGACTCGGTAAGCAACCCAAGGAATCTATAATTTAAATTTTCTGTCCCCAACCAGGGGGAGTAGAGAGCAAACTGGACTGAGAACAGTTCAAAGGTAGGAGTGTGGAACTTCTTTTGCAAAACATAATCATCAGAGCAATCCTGACCTGGACTGACCTGACCTGACACAATTTATGGTCCTGACTTAACGAGACAGCATCTGTTGGCCACGTCCTTCAGTCCTTGACACCTGGACTAAAAAAAGAAAAGGTGACCAACCATGAGCTCTATGCAACCCCATCGCCCCCAGGACCTCTATGCAACCCCTTATGATGCATTTGGGGTCATGAACCTATGTTTGGGAACCACTGATCTAGATCAATCTTGTTTTGGCCTATACTGTACTGTATACCCAAGGCTAAAGTAAAGAATTACCCCTTCACTACAGGGGTAATTTTATTTAACTAACACCAGATGATCTTATTCAGCAGAGAGAACCCCGTACAAAAGTGGTAACTCTTAACTGATAATTAAGATTTCATACCCCTCCCCCTCTAACTTATGCACAAAAATGGAAGGAAGGAAAATTAAACGACCGCAAATGATGGCTTCCGTCCCTACAGCTAACTTCCACTGATGATTGCTGTCATATAAAGATTCATTAATTTTTTCAATGTATTATTTCTACCATTTATCAGTAAAAACTAACTGTTTGGTTGGCTGGTTTGTTCTTTGATACAGCCTTCATTGTCCTATGTTAACACAGGAGAAAACTGGAGTACCCAGGGAAAACTTGCAGTGTTTGGTAAGGTCACACCAGATAAAATATTCTCACAACTGATCCGGGCCAGAGATCAAACCCAGGACACAAGATGAGAGGCACACGCTTTACCACCAGCACTCCCTAACTTAAAATTAAAAACTGGTAAGATAATTCACCACAAACTACACCCAAATGTTACCAAATCTTTGTTTCATGAGAAAAGAAGTGGCTCGCCAAACACAAGACTATAAAGGCAGCATAAAGTTAAGAGCACATGAAAGGTGGAACTTCCTCTTCATACAAATGAGGGACCTACCATATATACTGCACTCAACTATACAGTAGTTCAAGATTTATGACAAAATTTTTATGCAAAAAGTAGGGGGTCAAACTATATACAGTAAGCATAATATTTTTGAGGGGATAAAATTCATGTACATTATTCCCATGGGTCATTCACGGTGAACGATAGCTACCCAGTACTGTACATGTTCGCGGTAGACCAGCCTTACCAGTGAGCTCCTTTCTCCTGGGCTTGCCTACCATACCCCTAGATTCTTTCTTTATGCTGTTACATGAAAAGCACAACCTCTTTCTCTATACAGGTAGTTCTGCTATAACGCGATAATTGTGTTCTTGTAAAATATCGTGTTATAGAAAATCGCGTAATAGAAATAACAGGGCTTATGGAGAAAATAGGGTTAGGTGCAGATTACTCGAAATCGAAAAAATTTAGTAGTTAGCCTAACACAAAGGATAGCACAGTCTAAATAAATGTTACATTCATATCTAATAATGAAATCATACAGTAAATTTAACACTTTACCTTGAAAAAATATGAATGTAACTTGGGGGAGAAGGGTGATTTTGAGGTTGATAACATCGAGCTTCTCTTCAAGTGTTATATCCTTTCTTTTACGATAATCACCGGGAATTCTATCATCAGAACGCTTTTTGGAGATATTCTTCTTTACCATATTCACAGTTAATACCACAAAATTGGAGAAATAGTAAGCAAAAATCGCGTTATAGCAAACAAGCGTTCGCGTTATACAAATATTGTTCCGAATTCATAAATCGCGTTAGAGCAAATTCGCGTTATCAAAACACGCGTTATAGCAGAACTCACTGTACTGTATATGCCACTTTAAATTTGCAAATACCTAATGTAAATGAAGATACAGTACTACAGATAGAAAAATTTCATTTGCATCTGTTAACATCGCTGGTGGCATTGTTGTCATATAAGACACGTCACTTTAGCCACATCCCCCTAGCCCTCTTGCTACCAGGCTGAACTGTGAGTTATATTATGGTTATTTTTCAACTCATAATATCAGGCAGATATACATAACTCTCTTAATTTATTTTACTCAGTTACATGCATACACAATCCTCTACATAATGTGCAAAAAAAAAGTAATAGAAATAATTATAATAAGAGGGTAGGTAAAGGCAGCGCCCCAGCTGGGCTGTGTAGCTAAGGCGAGCATTAAGGCCAAGCAACCAGCATCTATGCAAATGATGGTTGTGTGAGACTTTAATTTGTTTGTTTTTTAATGGGTTTAGCTGCATTTTTTCATCAAGATACTGTAGTACTGTATACAAATGCTGTTTGAAGTAACACAATTGTTTGATACATAACATAAGAAAGGTAGGTGGAATGGTTTAGGAATGCTGGGAAAGGAGGTACACAGAGTTACGAGGTTGCTTCACCCTTCTGACTTACCATGTAGGCCGTTACATTACAGTAATACCCCGCTTTACGAGGTTTCACTTTCCGCGATTTCACATTTACGCGGTACCTCGCCAGAACCGGACTTTCACTTTACGCGGTGTATCTACTCATATACGCAGGAAGCGGCGCAGGCAGGATGCGCACAAGGTCGCCCAGTCATCAAAACATTACCGAGTTCTTCACCCACCACAGCCGGCCTAAGTCAGTGATAGTGAGGATATGGACTTATATGGACTTTGAGGGGTTTGACAAAGAGGCCCTGCAAGCCTATGTAGTGGATAGTGATACAATTGATACAAGTAATACAGGTGAGGGCCAATAATCTGCCCTTTGCCTCGGAACCAACCCCCCATCCCTGTGTGCCCAGCCATCTTTTCTACTAATGTAAGTGTTAAAAAAACTAATATTATTGATATTTCTCTTAATTATTAATTGTGTGTGCATAACATCATAAAATTAAGATGTAATTTTTACTACAACGTAGGTATTGTGTCTGAAAAAGTGGAGTTTGGGGGTCGGGCCAGTCTCTATTGGAATTAATCCCATATGTTCTGTTGTTCACTTTACGCGGTTTTCACTTTCCGCGGTACCCGTTGGGTTCAATTGACCGCGTAAATCGGGGTACTACTGTACATCTGTGATAATATCCTTACATTTTTTCTTGCTTTTCATTATTTTATATTAGTATTGTATTTGTTATGATAACACATAATTTGAATTAGTATATTCTTGGATTCATTAGGGGACTGCAAATGAAACCTAGACATATCTATATGTTGAAAATGACCTTCCTTTTCCAACAATATCTGCTAGTACGGGCACATAGACACAGGGTTAGCTGTTGTGGTAGTCACAGCCAAGACACGTTGGTGTGAATCTGGTGACTCGCTACATAATATGTCGAGGATTATACAGTACTGTACCTCCTATTTCTCAAAAGCTAGGTACGAATTATACATGAAGCAGATGAAAAACCCGGGCCTTTAAAAAAAAAGGGGATTGAACTATACATGAGCTTGGTTTATAGTAGACGAATATATTGTATATAGATTGCAATAATACACTCATCAGCGCAGGGAAATTTCATGTTTAGAGTCCAGAAACAAAAACCCATTTTCAGCCATGTTGATACTGAATGTGACTCACAAATCAATAAAGAAATTCCACTCAATAAGAGTGAGGGATCGACACAATTTAATTTTTACAGTTGCATACTGGATAAACTCATCTTATGGTTCCGAGACAAAAAATAAACCAAGATGCAGACAGAGACCACTTCACACCCTAATATGCTTTACAAATTCCAGAAATGCAAGATACTACTTTGTAAATGATGGGATGAAAAAAGATTTTCACAGTTAGTAGTCAAAAATTTCCTATTACAAAAATAATTTAAACACTTACATCGATGACAGAATCATCTCCAACTGCCCATCGATGCCCCTTCTGGTAGGCAAAGTCGTTGTCGTTATGGGGTCGTTGGTAAAAATAATTCACTTGCTCATCATCTTGAGAACGAGCAAGTGATCTGCCATATTCCATATACTGGCCCTGCACCTGCAACTGATGAAAGATTAAGCTTTATTATAAGGCTCTACTATGTAATTCTTGTACAATAATTATTCTATATATCATGTACATATTCACCTTCATTCAGTACAAGGAAGCATATGAAGAAAATCCTCAAAATATCTAACTTTTGATTACTGTACAATCGTGTGTTAATCATGAAACATTTATTTTGTCCAATTGTAATATCTCCGTTAGCCAGAATCCCTCAAACCCGGAACTCTCCAATAGCCGGAATTGAAATTTTCTCGGAAAAGCGTCCCCAAAGCCGAAATTTTCAGGAAAATTTTGACTTTGGAAACGATTTTCCGAGGGGCACATTTTTCCGGAAAATTCTGAAAAATTTTTCCCAAATCCCAGAAAATTCCGGGGATGGGGGATTTTTTTGGGGTTCGAGAGAAGGTGTAATGGGCAATTTCTGGAACTTCTGAGAAAATTTTTCCATTACCCAGAAAATTCTGGGGATGAGGGATTTTTTCCGGCTTTGAGAGAGTCGCCTAGTTACCCGGAAATCTCTCATTCCAGGAAGTGCTCTGCACCAATTGTTCCGGCTAACGGAGATATCACTGTACTGTCATATTTTTATAATGTGGTCAGTTAAACGGATACATATTGAGTACAATCAAAGTCGATCATGTTTATGAACTGTATTCTTAATGTTATATGCAATCTTTAACGTGAAAATTGCAGCATACATCTATAGAACAGATGCATTTAAAAACTCGCACGTGGGCTGAGTGTGGTGACTTTTAGTCTGTATGACTCCTCAAACCCTCTACCATCCCTCTCAACGTCCAGCCTAAATAGTAGGCTGGACGTAGGTCACGCTCGGAGAGTGGGGAGGAGCAGCCCTTCACCTCCAGTATTACCAGTGTTGGTAAGAGTAAAGTTTGTACAAAGAAAAAAGTGGCTGCAAACCATAAACTTGAGCTAATATCTAGAAGCAGAGAAGAAGAAAGTGAAACAGATGTGCAATGTGTTAAGTGGCAAGCGGGGTGTGGGTGTGCGTGGGTGAAGGAAGAAGTCTACGCAGTTAGCTGCTCCCTTCCTGCAACCCCACCCCAGAAAAAGAAAAAACTAAAGCCTCCAACTCCTTCCAAGTTTGTTCCCATGGCCGTGGAAACTGATTTGGAGCTATCATCTCTGTCAGTTGACCCTATGTGGAATATAGTGTGTGTACAGGTGAGGAGAGAAGTGTCAGTGATGGAAGTTTCCACGATCTATCAAGTGATGGAGAGGAGGAAGAACAGCCGTGTGATCCAAAACATGCATTAATTTTGTGTGGAGTGATGGTAGAAATTTCCAACTAAACATTCATGATTTTGATAACAGAATGTCTGGTGTCACAGACGAGTGGCTTCATGATGAAGATACCAGTGAGATTGAATACTTTCAAACATATTTATATTGGTGTTATTGTAACAAACAATTATCATATATATTTGAGGGCAGCATAAGTACACACTTAGGCCACATTTGCAAGATCAGGTGGATGTGTTAGTTTGCAAAAATTTGTTTTTCCCTTGCTTCTCTTGATGCCCCTTGTCAAAAAACTTAAGATACCAGATTACTGGAAGAATGATGCGCTAATACCGACCCCAGTTTTCAAGAAGTTCATGCCCAGGGAAAGATTTCTTCTATTACTGAGATGCTTACACCTCCCAGACAATAACAATCTTGTGGGAATTTATAGGTTGTGAAAGATTGGGCTATTTTTTACAATGATTACTGACAAATACAGAAAGTTCTTTATCCATTCCAAAAAATGGTACCCGGTAACTGATGAAAGCTTAGTTTTGTTCGAGGGATGGCTTTTGTTCAAACAGTACATTTGCTCAAAAAGACGCAGACTTAGAATAAAACTATTTGCTTTGTGTGATTGTGAAATGGGAATTATTCTGGGCATGATTGTATATGCGTCCAGTGATGTTGATACTGTATACAGTACTGTACCTAAAAATGACACATAGGTGCAATAGTTAAGAAACTAATGGTCAGATATTTGGGAAGGGGACACACAGTATACACAGATAACTGGTATACTTTCCCTGCTCTATGCCACTTTATGCATTCTGAAAAAAATGGAAATCGTCGCAAATCAGAAAACACGCCAAAATTTTCTACAGCAACTCAAGGTGAATTGAAGTCATCTGGCCAAATATTGTATTAGCTATAAACTGGCATGATAAACAGGATGTGTCAATCTTGACTACCCTTCACAAAGGGGAAATGAAGGACAGCGGAAAAGAGAAATATATAACAAAAGAAAAGATCATGAAGCTGGATGCTGTCATTAATTATAATAAGAATGAAACTAACCGATAAAAGTGATTGTCAATCTAGTGCTACCGAATGAGAGATACTGAAATGGTATCATAAACTGATTTTTCATGTTATGGATGTTACCCTTCTTAATTAAAGTAACGTGTGCCTTGTATAAACTGGAAAAAAAGAAACTTTTACTGAGAGTTTATTTACAATGTTGTATGCCAGATTCTGGAAAAATACATCACTGAAAGTTGTTCTTGAAAATCACGCAGTGCAACACAAGTCCTGGACACACTCTTTGCCAATGAATTCATGCTTCAGCATTATCTGGACAATATAGACAAAGAATAAGGGAATAAACCATAAGAAACAAATCGAGTTTAACGCTTGTAGAAACATGACTGCAAGACCTTATATACACAAAAACTCGTCACCACATCACATCCTGAATACAAAGTAGGATTGTGTGCTGTTCCATGTTATCGTGACTTTCACACTAAGAATAAATAGAGTACGGGGGGGTCCCCGGGTTACAAACGAGTTCTGTTCCGGAGGAAGTTTTTAAGTCGGATTTGTACGTAAATCGGAACACATGATATGTACATACCGTACTTACAGAACAATGTTTAAAATCCCACTATATCATAGCCTAAGTCCTAATATACATCTAAAATCACTTAATTTAAGACAAAAGAAGAAATAGAATGAAAAAATACAGTAAATGAAAGTAAAAAAAATAGTCATCAGGAAAATAAAACATTGTAAATTTCAAGTTTAACCCTGTTCTCTATTGGCAGGCATTCATAAGTCAGGGACCCCCTGCATTGAAATGCTTAGTGTTCTCTTTTATAAATATACTGTATGTACATAATTAGACAAGTATAAATAATTGAAAAAAAACTTATGATAAGGAAGTACTTTCATTTTGTAAATATTATTTTACTCCTGTACTGTACTGAACAGTATAGTATTTTAGAAAAAAAAAGTTTTGAGTTACATATATGAAAATAAGCTAACTACTAAAATACTAGACCGAAACATTGCCCAGACATCCTCTCGTCCCTCAAAATAGTGGGGCAGATACACTGACAAAATTTAGACGAATTGTGGGTTTTGTGGTAAAAACACCAAAATTGGCCCACAGTAAATGAATAGAATGAATCCTAAAAGCAAACCTTTGTCAGGTCTCAAAAATGGTTGACTGTTAGATTCTGTGGGATAACCAAGAGTTGTTCTTTAAAGCGCTTCATTTAGTGATGGCAAGTATGAACACAGAAATGGCCTACCAAGATGTAGTCAACTCTCTTGTAGGTCACTCACAAGCCTCCATATACTGTACGCAGTGAGCCTCCATAAACTTCAAGCATTCAATATTCCATTTTTGCCTTGAATTCTAAAGCTTATATAAACTGTACACCATTTAAATAGAGCTGTAAGGCCACAAAACCTCTATCTGCACGAACCACACACACATAAGCATAGAATGGGAATGTATACAGCTGCTCCTCGACTTACGACGGGGTTAGGGACCCAATTCCAGGTTGTAAGTCAAATTGGTCCTAAGTCGAAAATGCAAAAAATAATACATAGAAAATCTAAAATGAACTACAGTACAGTAAAAGTAATCAATAATGAAGAATGAATACAGTGTTACTGTGCACTTACCTTTAATGTAGTCAGCTGAATGCACACGGGGCCCCCATAATTTTTTAATTATACATGGAGACTACATTAACTGGATGAAGCAGAGGAGGAGACAGGGCTGGGTGGGTCATCAATGTTGCTTTCTTCAGACAGGTTGACATACAGGGGAAACTTGCTTGTTGAAGGTATTGGATCATCTTAAGGAAGTGAAGAGGCAGCACTGGTGGGGCATGAGGAGACAGCAATGGGGGACTTCTTAAAATATATGTCCAATTTAGACTGCACAGTTTGCTTTATCTTTTCATTGTAAATCTCCCTGTAGCAATCAAGTGCATCTTGGATCATTCTGTCAACTTTTGCAAAATGATCAACATTTTTATCCATTCCATCAAACATTTGCATCCCCTTATTAATTGTAACAAATGACTCTGCCATTTGTTTCACTGAATAATTTTTGGGGGGTGCAGGTTCTTCTTCTACATTTTTACTCTCTTCTTCCTCTGCAATTTTCTGTGCATCCAGTTCAATAAGATCCTCGTTACTTAGCTCTTCTGCTACACTTTCAACCAACTGGTCAACATCCTCATTATCAATTTCTAACTCCATCTGTTTACCCAACTCCACTATCTTGTTACTAATCGCAGAAATTACTTCATCTTCATTATATCCTCTCAAACTGTTCACATATCTTTTCAGAACTTTCTTCCATATTCCATTCATGCGCTGACCTGTAATCTCATCCCATGCTGCAGCTATGTTCTTTAACATTTCAAAATGTTGTAGTCCTTCCAAAACTCTGAGCGTTTTCTCATCTTCAGTATCAGCAACAGCCTGAGCGAAGGTCGTACGTAAATAATTCGCTTTAAAAGCAGCAATAGCACCTTGATCCCTGGGTTGGATGATAGAGGTAGTGTTAGGTGGAATGTAGACTACCTTAACATCAGGGTGCAGGTCGTCCAGGTGTGGTGGGTGTCCCGGAGCATTATCCAAAATTAACAAGATCTTGAATGCAATCCTTTGTTGCAGACAATACTCCTTGGCTCATGGAATGAAACAAGTCAGGAACCAATCCTCAAACAGTACTAGGGTCATCCATGCTTTCTTATTACTGGGATAAAACACTGGCAGTGTGTGCTTGCTGACATGTTTAAAAGCTCTTGGGTTCTCTGAATGATATATCATGAAGAGCTTTATCTTGAAACCGGCTTCATTCCCCCCCAACAGCAGTGTAATTTGGTTCTTGAATTCCTTGAATCCCGGCATTGTTTTCGCTTCTTTGTGGATGTACGTCCGCCTGGCATGCACTTCCATACTAAGCCAGTTTCATCCATATTAAGTATTTGCTCAGGCAAATTTCCCTCCACGATGACACGATCTAGCTCCTCCTTAAAAGCTTCAGCAGCACCCACATCAGCACTTGCTGCCTCTCCACTCACCTTTACACTATGCAAACTGTAGCGGTTCTTAAACCTATGGAACCACCCATGACTTGCTATGAAGTTTTGGTCGCACTCATCTCCTGCCTGCTCCTTCAGGCTTTCAAAAAGGCTTCTTGCCTTAGCCTGTAGAGTTAGAAGGCTTAAGGGTACACGCTTTTGTATCTGATCTTCCATCCATATCACAAGTAATTTTTCCATCTCATGAACAGGACCTTGTCTTTTTTTCGTTATTATTGTTCCCTTTATAGGTGCTGATCCTTTCACTACCTCACGAATGCGTTCCTTGTCCTTCAAAAGTGTCTCTATGGTCGAGTGCGAGAAGCCTAGGTTGCGTGAAATGGTAGCTACAGTTTTTCCATTTTCATATTGCATTATTATCTTCATTTTTGTCTCAAAAGTAATTGACTGTCTCCTTTTTCTTCTGAGCACCACCAGCACTCTCACTTCTACGCTTGCCAGTCATTCGAAAGTGAATTAGAAATGAAAATATTGTCAGTACACAGCGCAATCACTATCAACAACAACGACGGCCAAACACCAACTAAGCGCTTTATGGCGTGGATGCTGTAGCCAAGAGGCGACCCAGCCCACGCGAAGCTCTCGTACGGGACGGAAACGTTTCGGTCTAGAAAATATGCGCGTCATTTGAAACATTTTTGGTACCAACCGTGGCAGTCGTACGTGCGGGTGGTCGTAGGTCGAGTATGTTGTAAGTCAAGGAGTAGCTGTACTGTACTGTGTATATTCCTATGTACAATCAAAGACAAAAGTCGTGTCGCGGTTTTCTCCGAAGATTAAATATATTGTAACTCATGAAGCATTATGAGAGCCCCTACACAAGGCAGATCACACCAAAAGTTTAGCCCTTCGGCATATGTTTTCACCAAATTTCATGACACAACTTTCATCTTTCATTGTACCTAATTTTGTCTTGATACCTTTCATCATCTATTTTCACATGCACACTACTCAAATAAGCCATTCTTACCTGAGGTCTGATGGGCTGGGGAGGTGTGGGGTGAGGTATATGTCTACCTGCCATCATGGCCGCTGAGGGATCACCCTCGAATGCAGCCTGGCTCCACTTCATCCACCTTCAATATAAAAATACAAAGTTTATTAGTTAATAAATACCTGCAAACTTAAGCACAAGTAACTCAGAATATGAAAAGATATGCATGTGCAATCAGGGATGGGCTAAGATTGGCTTGGGCCCCGGGCAGTGTCCCAACTATGGGCCCACTTCCCTGGTGTGTTGACATCCTACAGGAAATTTCATTAGTGGGCTAACTGTAAGAACACTTACTGAACATTCTCTTAATATTATATTATGCTTCTCATTAACCTCATCCAATAAACTGAATAAAACAATCAATACAGTATACTGAAGAAACTGTAATGTACCCAAATAATCTTCTGAAAAGAAAACATCCCCAAGTTATGATAAACAAATTTAGAGAACAAAAATAAAGAATGTCAAGGGTGAAACAATGAACATAAATCTGTGCCTACAGTAATTCCTAGCAAGATAAATGAAAAGGTCAGATCAATTCTAAAGTATGAATTATTGTGAGTTTCCTCAAATAACAAGCTCACTGTATCACACTACTGTACTACCAACTTCCTGAACAATCAGTGATGTCCAAGTAGCTTTTTCCTGTAATATGAAATAAATTTACAAATAAACATTTTAAGAACATTGGGTTTGTTCCTGAGTTGCCAGAAGACAACCACAGAAAACAAAAGACCAAAGTTGTGCGGACTGGAAACCCGCAGCACCAGGTGAGAGGCTCTTTCTTACTGCCAAACAGGCACATCATTATTAGGTTGTCACATACAGTACAAAACACTTGTAAAATGATATAAGAGAAGTAAATCCTCCATTCATACTTTATACAACATTAGAAACTAGATGGCCTAGTCCAAGGAGACAATACTTTTACTTTTTACTTTTATCCTCTTCACCACTGATCTGGTCACATCTCTGTTATGCGCTGTTGGCAAGTACTGGACATGCACTGCCTCCTGAATGTAACTGAACCTGCTCCACAACACTCTCTTGGAGGATGTTCCACGAGTTCACAACTCTCACTCCGAAAAAGTTAGCCCTCACAGTTTACTGGACTTGCAGGTTCTTCAACCTTGAGCTGTGATCCACCTCGCCGAGTGACTGGCCATATATGAGGGAATGATCCTCAAATTTCATCTTATGGCTGAGCCCAGCACTATAGACTATAGTATGTTCATTTTGGAGTTATAAAATAAGCATGACTAACATTCTCTTATGTGGGTTTGTGTTTGAATACCAGTACAGTACCATACTGTACATCACCATAACACAAGAGATCAGCCAATTTATAGTAGTACAGTACTGTAACTTACTACACTATATTAATGCTCTCTTGTACTTGTCTGGCATTTTTTACAATGTAAATGATATCTGTCTTATGTCATATCACATACCTGTCTAAAGAAATTCAAAATGTTATGTTGACAATAGTGGGTGAAGAGAGTGGGTAGTCAAGGGACTGCCCAGCACCGCCTGCCATCCACCTGATTGACAACTGATGGATAAATACTCATAAATGTGACATCCTCTGGCAGATATGAAAGAATGTGAGTAGTGCCCATTTTATGTATTCAAAATGGACAGACTAAACTGCTGGTGGGTCTGATCCCTCACTCCTCCTATAAGCTAGTGTAGAGGATTAGCTAATGGGAATGAATGGGGGTGATTGTCCGGGAAACCAGCACGGTCAAGCTCCAAAAGAAGGGCGAGGTGCACATTTGTCCACATATCATGACACATTCACAAGGCCACCTTTCTCTAGTTCAACAGAGAAAACCTTTGCTCCCTTTCCGAGTGACAATTGTAGGAAGGGAGAACTAATAAATCATAAGTTTAGTACTGGCCAGAGAATCCAGAAAACCTCTTAAAAGGAAGTTACCTGAAACTGCTCTAGATGTTAAAATATATTGGCAGATATATATATCATATAAAAACCGGTATGAGCTTCCATGGGAAAATGGTATAAGTTGCTACTTTTAGGTGGAATGACTCACTGAAAGTTAACACTGTACCTGCATTGTATGTACGTACATATCTTTTACAGTACAGTATTCTTATTATTTGTTTATTTTTTTACGGTGTGTAGTGGTTCATTCTTCCTAAATTCAGATATAATTTATTGATGGATTGCTAATAATTTCAGAGCCAGAGCTGTAGATAGAAAGAGTTCAGTCAACTCGGTGATTTGAGCCATGTTGTTATACTCAGTTGATGAAGACATTTGCGCTCGTACTGTAGAGGATGGTGGTGGTGGTGATGAGGATGATGTTTATTCAGTAAAATTGTTATACATGTTTAAAATTGGATAAAAATACTAATAAACTATGTGGGAGACAGCCCGAGAAGACTTCCCACCCACTGAGTAACAACATGGCGCCCAGTTGGCCGAACTCTCTCCATCTATGGCTCTGTTCAAAGCTGCACAGTGGCTCCAGCAACACAACCACTTGCTGCTGTGGGCGAGCTGTAATCAATTTTCAGCCGAGACTTTTATAAATATACTTATTTTAATGGTACTGTGAGTAAGGAAATTTCCTTTGGATTTATTTAAGGTGCAGTAGCAGGCCCTGACCTCCATGCCTTTGACTCTATAGCAAATTGGCAAAAGTCATCATTGAACTACTGTACCTCTACTACTTTAGCTCGAACAAATCATTGAATGATGATAAAAATAAAATATTTTTAACAGTGCTTCTGGGAGCATGCCCAAATGTGCCACTTTAGTAAATTTAAATGTTTTTTCTTTTGCTCCCCACTAGACTTTCATTCTATGCATTAAAACCAAATTTTTCATGAAAATCCCAGAGAAAACAAACCTTATTAATCATGCAAACACAAAAGACACTGTCACATGGACCACTCAGCAGTGTAACATATATAGTACGGTAAGCCATTCCTGTTAACATCACACACAATCAAACAACATTGTTATGATGGTGGACAACACAAAGAAACTTGTGAAGTATAAAGTCAAGATGATGTCACAACTATGCAAAAGGATCTACTTGAGCTGTTCAAATAGTTGCAAGACTGGCAAAAGCTTCTGACCATTAAATAATGTAAGACTCTGCACGTAAAATAAAACTCTTATTACAACTATTATATACATAACACTTTCCTGGACACTGTTGATAATGCCAAATATCTATGCGTTGTGATAGATCAGTCACTGAAGGCAGCGCAACATGTGGGAGCAGCAGAGAAAACCAGCAACTGAGATTTTAGAGTTATAAGCCATAACTTCACAAACAATAATAAGAAAATGCTCCTTCATCTTTATAAGTCTCTTTTAAGTCCCCTTCTGGATTACTATACTGTACTATACAGGCATGGAAATAGTACAGTACCTCCAAAAAGACATACCACCCCTAGAAAAGATGCAACACAGAACTAGTTAGGTGATGTTAGAACCATTTCATCTCAATTATCCAAGTAGACCGAGGGCCTTAGGATTAACAACACGTCAGACAAGACAAAATACGGCAAATCTCACAGAGCATTCAAAATCTTGAAAGGGATGGAAAATGTGAACCCAGGCCATTTTTTTATGTCACGTACTACCAACATGAGCGGACATAACTTCAGGCTCACCACGCTGTCACGCAAGACAAATATAAGGAATTACTTCTTCACATAGACGGTGATGGATCTGTTGAACAGTCTATCAGCTCAAGCTGTGGAATCAATTACTAGGCTTCAGAATAGCCCTTGACATGACTATCAAGAACAATGGAGGGATCCAACACAGACATGGCCACCTCTAGTTTCAATGGCCATTAAGCAATCAAGGTAACTAAGTTCAATGATGGTTTGTTTTCACTCACCAGAGTGTACAGACCATAAAGAGACAGTGACCCACTTGCCACTTCATAATACAAGTACATTCATAACAATGGGAGTAGAAAGTCACATCTTAAAATGTCCTGTACTAAGTGAGAAAATATTATGGAACATATTTTGTTACTTTAAGTAAATGAATGAGCAAGCAGCCTTGTACTACAGTCTTACCCACCAGACACTACTCTTAACCACATCCCTTAGGTCTGGGCACTTTAACTTGTTCACCCAATAACAATTCAAGTCTATCAACCTTTCTCCCACTAAAATTAACAGGATAAAGTGTATAAGTATATAACTACACCTAACTTTTAGTGTCCTCTTCAGTGAATTAATATAAAACATGCTTTAAGGTAAATAAGACATCTCATCATCTGAATATAGATTGGCCTTACACGGTTAGTTTACCTACAGCCCATAAGAAAAAGTTGACACCCCATGTTATCCCATATTCCAAAGAGAAAACTTAAGTGACAACACACATTAACTTCCCCATACCTTTATTTCTCGTATCCTTAGGGCACCGTTGTCAATTAGTTAGTCCTAAACCTATTCCGTCCTATTTTAGCTGACTGTTGGTGAATACGTCTGCCTGCTTGTCATTCCCGGAACATGGCGCTGTGGCCTAAACAATGAGGAAAAGATAAATTTATACGTATTTTTAGTGTTGTTCCATAACTTATACGATAAAATGAATTAATAAGATTGTCGCCTATGGAGTGGGTGTGCTATTTAATAACTTATAATAGTAAATATGAGGGTTATATTATAAAGAAAAACAATAAAAACAACAAAGGTTGAGTGAAACATCATTGCCAGGAATGACTCAAATGACGACCATGATGCGTTTAACCTCAGTCTTCATTAATAACTACCTTATTATCTACACTTATATACGTTAACATACTATACCATAAACAATTTAAAAATAATTAAATGTCGTTGGATATCGTTACATAAAACAAATGATATAATGTGTATCTTAATGTTGTCCCGTTATAAATTTAAGTATATGAATGATACTCGTGATTTTATTACTTTATAAAGAAAATCTATAAAATACACTAGCATATTATATGATTTTTTTTATATCTTGATCAAATAGAGTAAAAAAAACTCATCAAATGTAATCACCTGACGCACAGTTGAATTATTTTTCCTCCAGCCTGACTCACCAAACACTAGATAATGCAATGCATCTTCAAGTCAGAGTATGCAAATTTCCACTGCATCTATTCAACCAAACAATTGTGCTAACTTTAGTGCATATCAACCAAACAGTAGTGCTATTATCTCGCTATGCTATCCTTAAGGGGACTAGAGTAGCTGTATCTATCCAAATTTTGTGTCTAGTCTAGATTTACTACACTATAATTATGTTATAGGTAGTTAGAGTAAGCTGAACCTGACTGATGATCAAGGTGATTTTACTTCAGTGTTTTTTTATATTATTCGTCAATTAATTAAGTCCAAAGGGAGACAGACTCGTCAGGAGACATGCGGTCTAAAACAACGTAAGAAGATAAGAGAATTATCATTTAGTTATCAAGATTTCTTCCAAATGGGGACAAACTTGGGGTTACAATTTAAATATCCCGTAAAATATAAAGCGAGATGATTTTCATAAAGATTCTAATTTAATAATAATTATTTTATAAATGAACCAGTGGAAGTTTACACAGGAGTCATAGATTCCCAAGCCTGTTCTTTGTTGTCAATATATTTTTTGTTTTCGAATGATTTAATAAAAGTTATATATTTTTTAATTTGCAGGCATATATATCTACAAGGATATTATTCCACAAGTACTATTATCCGGTCCTATAATATATACCAATAATATGTTTGAGTTGGTAGTGTCTGTGTGTTTACGTTTTGTGCTCGTTATTATCCAGCACAGATGTCACATATTCTTCCTTTATTTCTTTATTATATTTCCTTTAAATGAATATAACAACATCGTTCTTATTGTTATTTAAATATTTTTCCACACCAAACCTAATAAAATATTTTAAGTTATGGATAAATTTACAAATATACAATTTATTTTCCAATTCGTCCAACTCACAGTCTGTGGTAGTTAAGAACAAACAAGCTGTGGTAGTGGACTGTGGTGTCCTGTGGTAGTCTCTGTCCAGGAGAAGTTTCCTTTAATAATAGACTACAGTATTTTGCTGACATGGATGGGAAGCGAAAAGCTGATTATATGGCCGTGGTCATTCAGGCCAAAAAGCCAAGACATGAAATGGTTTTACATTCTGGAGAAAAAGGCCTCGTTCAAAGTGTAAGACTAGTTAACATGGGTAGTTGATAATTGAATTAGATACTGAATTATGACTGATTGGTCTATAGAGGTCCATCTCCCTTGAAAACACCTGTTTGGTATTATGGTTTAAGTCGGTAATATATATGGACTTGTTAAAATCAAACATAGTTCACTGATGGTTCACCATATATATTTCCATGATGGTTTTGTCATTTCACTAAATACATGTATGAAAAGGCCATGAACTACTCGCTGCTGAAACAAATATAATGTGTTTTTCTGTGTTCTGTTGGAGAAAGAACAGTAATGTTAACTTTTTGTGCTGAATAAAATCACCTAACGTTAAACAAAAGTGGCGTCCCTGTAGTGAACGAGTTAGTGGAGATAGTTTATTAATTATGTAGTTCAGAAGTAGGTATTATTTTACTATAGGACATAGCGCGCCCTTAAGTTATAAACTACTGAAACATTTAGGTCTCGCTATTCTGAGAATTTTGAACCCCATATATACCTACCGGAAATGGATAATAGCGACACAATTGAATTTAATTGATTTTATGTAGTTTTCAGTCTTCGTCTGTTAGGAGATGTTATCGGCGCATCGTGCATACGCAATATTGACTGATGTTGGAAGAGAGAAAAAAAAAATTTAAATGGAAAAGGGTTTCAACTTGGCCATAATTGTGGTATGGCTATGAAAACAAACCATCACTGAGCTATAGGAACAAACCATTGAATATTGCTAATTGGTATTAAAAAAATTATTCAAAGTTTTGCAATTGTAATTTGAACTTGCTTGTATATGTTGCAGGGTCCCCCAAGAACAAGTAGTCTCATGTCTCCCATCATGCAGCTCTCAGGCCACCAGGGAGACATCTTATGTGGCAAGTTCCACCCTGAAGGAGAGGTTGTTGCTACTGCTGGCATGGACAGGCAGATCCGTAAGTACAGCTCATAGGGATGAATTCCACCGAAGAAGTAAACTTCATCGCCTTCAGTTTATGGAAGGGTTATGTTCCTGAAAAGTATATAACCATATTTACTGAAACCTATTTTTCAATTGGCTTCAATTATTGAATCTACAGTGTTTGTATTCAGCATGCAATCAAGGAAGGTTCTGTATTCATTCCATATATCACTTATCATGGTATATTTATGTACAGTAGCTAAAACAACTATCTGTGCATACTTTGTGGGAAACAAAATGAGACCATGGACGATAAATATTGGTATATGAGGGCTGTCACTAGTCACACGTAAAATTTTGGAGCATATCGACCCCCACCTGCACAGATAGATGTTTTAGCTACTGTACTGTACACTCCGCTGAACTCATTCCCATCTCAGCCATTGAGTTTTTCACCCTGTAACTTACTGTTCAAGACTGTTGTTAGCATTTCAGCTTTCATTAGAAATTACCATTATCCAACAGTCTTATCTTCCTTCTCAAATATCTTAACTTTACTCTAGTTTGCTTGCACTTTCAACATCATCATACAGTATTACATTACCAAATTAACATCCTGTGCAGTATCTTGTTCTAGTGATTCACCCATTAACACAATAATAACCTTTACTTCAACTCTCTTCCATGCATTTTTTATTTATGTTAAAGTTTTATTGACTACTTTCTTTTATTTATGTATAAACAAAACAGAAACTTATATTACAAAGTATAAATATGCTAACCTGCTATTTGGTTTGTGTTTTCAGTCTTCTGGAATATTTATGGAGATTGTGACAACTTTGGAATGCTGACGGGTCATACAAATGCCATCACAGACATGCATTTTTCTACGGATGGGACAGTGTTGTACACAGCATCTGCAGATAAGACAGTCATGTGTTGGGACACCACCAGTGGCACACGTGTTAAAAAGCTTAAAGGTACATTTTTTACATAGGAGTCATACTTATGATTGGTAACATAAAACATGTAATCCATCAGTTTATTAATTAACAATAAGGAATTGGTTAACTGGCTAATTTAAATGAGGGGTGAGATATAATGGATATAATGGTTAACAAGAGCTCTTAGGTTTGTTTCAATTTTCAATCACTCTTTGTTCAGGAGTGAACTTTTTCACCAACTCTTGGATCACAGTTGCAATCTTCTAAGGGGAGGACTGCTAAGGTCATTAACTCTCTTAAACTGGCAATATGATTCAGGCACTTGACCTAAAAGATTTAACTTCTTCCATGAAAAGTGACATTAACTTCAATTTGAGAAAAAGACTGTTTAAAGGCTTTAAATGGCACAGAATGATGTATGGATCAAAAGCATTGACATTTTCAGCAGAAAACAGAAAGAGGTTGGAGGCCTTTGAAATGTGGTGTTACAGGGGAATACCAAAAATAAGCTCCAGTGACAGAAAAACAAATGAAGAAATACTAAGATTAGCCAAAACTTCATGAGAAATACGTGAAATGTACAGAAAAAGAAAGATGAGCTACGTTTTGTCATATAATTAGGGATGAGGGGATAACAGAAATATTAATCGGCAAAGTTGAGAGAAGGAGGGCCAGGCCAGGGGAAGGCAGAGACTGGGATGCACGAATTAAATTAAAAACTGGGTCTCCAGAGAGATACAAAACCTTAGAGGATTGGTAAAAACAGCCTATGAACATTTAGAGTGGAAGGACTGTGGTCACCAACCCTTAGATGTAAGGACGGTATGGTGATTAATTAATTGATGGCGTTTTGGATGGGAATGACTTATCCATTAGTCTAATCTGAAAGACCTTGATAAGGATTTACCAAGGATTGATTATGTAGTTCTAGGAATTGCATTGTTAAGAATAATTATAAACTTAATTTCAGACATAGTAGGATCAATACAAAGTACTGTACTGTATCTACACAGGGTAGAATCTTCCTCATCCCACTTCTTATTCTCATAATTTTCTTCGGTTTTAGGGCACAGTAGTTTTGTAAATTGCGTCCATAGTGCACGTCGTGGACCAAGTCTTGTGGTGAGTGGTGGAGATGACTGTACCATTTTAATCTGGGACGTCCGCAAAAAAAGACCGGCTACCACACTACAAAACACATTCCAGGTAATATTTTTTAGACATGTCACCTTTTATTTTTTTTGCCTGAAAAATTTAGCGGATTTTCTAAGCTTATGCTGTATGTGATACTATTACTGGTTTATTTTCAGTAAATATTTCAATTTCTCCTTCTTCAGTGTCTTAGTTTAAACCAGTTTATGGTTTACTTTTCTTCATGATGAACCTTCATGTAAGTTGTGCTTTGTGTATGAAATATGGTCGGGGTTATAAATATTTTACACAGTATTTATAAATAATTTTCCAGTGTGAAGGAAAGCTGGTGAAATACCGGCCCCAAGGGAACTTTCTGTTCATGTATTACTGTACCAAATATTGTGGACATAAAATTCCTGATGAAGATTCTCATACTCATATTGGTCTGAAAATGTGATTATTAATGTCAAAGACAATTTGTGAGAGAGCATTCACGAGCTTTGCCCGTTTCTTCCACCAAGAAAAATAAATTTGCTATTTGTATTTAAGTGAAGACAGATATGCCCTGATATGCTTAGGTCCACCATAAAACAACCAAATTAAATACATTTATTTTCTAGGTTAGAAGAGAACATTTACTTGGACTGACATATCTAAGATTGTAATTTAGCAAAAAAAATTTGTCTTCAGGTAACAGCTGTGACCTTTAACGACACATCAGAACAAGTTATCTCCGGTGGTGTTGACAATGATATGAAGGTAATTAATTTTTTCATTTCCAACTTCCTGCATATTATATAACGTAATGTAAACAGTTGCTGCAGTCACATAAATTAGGAGAGTAATACTGTAGTTATTCACACAACTGCATAGGATATGAAAAGTCATAAGGCTAAAATTTATCTTCTTAAAATTTGAAGAAGTGTGGAGTAAACAACCCTCCTGTTTAACTTGAAGTTAATTTTTGTTTAAATGCAACTAATACATTTGTTCACAGGTCTGGGACTTGAGAAAGAATGGTTTACTTTACCGGATGCGTGGCCATAACGATACAGTGACTGGGCTCAGCCTCTCTCCAGATGGCTCTTATGTGCTCTCAAATGCTATGGACAACACTGTCAGAATATGGGATGTGCGGCCATTTGCTCCACAAGAACGCTGTGTAAAGATTTTCCAAGGACACCAGCACAACTTTGAAAATGTAAGTTGTGTGTAGGGATGCACCAGAAAAAAAAAATTCTCCTCTGGATACTGGATAGTTGCAAGAATCTGGTCTGAATTATGCATAATTAAAAGCATAACAAAATTGTAAAGAACCATGAAAAAGTCAACTCACCACTCCTTGGGATTCACTAATACTACAGTTGTATAAACCAGCAATTATAGCAATCCCATGTAGCTACCTAACTCATTTTTTTTTTTTGGTGTTTACAATTATCCTCGCAAAACAAATGCACACACAAAGCAAAATACTAGTCATTTTCAGGCCCTCATAACATACTGTTCGATAAAAGCTAACATAGCATCCTAGTTACCCTGGTTCTTACATCCCCCAAGTAATATCTCTTGTTCCATATAAATTCTGATGATATACTGTACATTACAATATTACTGCAGTCATATGACTTTGTTTTTTATATAAAATATTCATGACTCTTACTAACACCAAAATAATTCTGTAGGATTTTATATTTGCTGTATTTTCATAATGTTTCCAGATATTATTACGTTGTTCTTGGTCTCCTGATGGGCGTCGTATATCGGCTGGATCATCTGACCGTCATGCTTACATTTGGGACACTACTACAAGACATATCCTTTACAAGCTACCAGGACATAATGGTTCTGTAAATACTGTTGAGTTTCATCCAAAAGAACCAATAAGTAAGTTGAATTTTGTTTCTTGTCTGTTTCCTGTTTACCTACTAGGAAGTGTTCCTTTACCAAAGACAAAAATACTGTAGCAAGGTTTCGGGGGATTTTCATAGAGGATTGGCAGCCAAACAGCTTGATTCTTTTTGTAAACATTTTGAAGTCTTTAGGTTACATACACGCACACATCTCGGCGTCAGCTGGTTGAACTGTGTTATATCGCCCAGAGGATGGTTTGAGTGTGGAAAGAGCTTTTTTTTTTTTGACACAAGAAGTGTGCTATTGTATTATATGATATGCTGTATAAATTTTTGTTTATCATAGCATGAAATTAGAACCAACACCTCCCATCAACCAAAAAGCCCGGCACATTTGTAAACAAAGTGTGTACAGTGCCACTGGTGGCAGACAAACAAATCAATAACTTAAGTTGCCTTTGGATTGTTGGACTAAATTAGAATTTTTACCCAACCCAACCAAAGGGGACAAAGTTCAGATAGTTGGATTTCAGATAAAATAAATTGCACTGGAGATCCTTTTGTATTACAGTACAGTACCTACTGTGTGTTAATGTCCATTCCTTTTTTCTTTTTTTCATAAAACTATAAAAAAAAAATTATTACCATTATTGTAAAATACTGTTCAGTATTGTAGGAGCAGTATACCAGTAAGTACTGTACCACACACCCTTCACTTTTTCCAAAAATTTATAACATCACTTTACTTCCCATGGTGATCAGTACAGTACAGTACTGTGATTCTGAACGATTAATATACAACTATGCTAAAATACAGATTTTATTTTAATAATGGATTTCCTAATTTCAGTTATGTCTGTATCAAATGATAAACAAATCTTCCTGGGAGAAATTGAATAAGCACCGTCTTATGATAGCTGAGAAAGTGTCAAGACTGCCGCTCACCAAATAATAATAAGAGAAGAAATTAATTGAAGGAATGCATGTCATATCCATCTATCAAAGTTTGGAGGCTGGAGATAGCATGTTAATTTGTGAGGAGTGTATAGAGAGAATTCAAGTTTTTCCATAAGAAAATTATGTATATACATTATATGGACTTTCAGCTTGGTGTCTGAGTTTTCATAACTGTAAACAGTATAGTTACTGTATCTACAAAATTTTTTGTTTTGACGGACGATGAAATTTTTGAATGAAATCTGTGTATGATATATTGTAGTACAGTACTACCTGTATACTGTAATATTAAAATTGTTTGAATATGTATTGTGTTTGCACTTTTTGTTTCATATTGCAAGTTACTTGAAAAGTTGAACAAGTATTGACATTGAGAGAAATAAGGAATAAATTTTTAACCATAAAACTTTCACCACATTATAATTTAAGAATGTCACTTGTCATGATGACAATGAATACATGTTTAAGCTCCAGTATTATATTGTGCTGTATACAAGTCACTTTAGATAAAATATGAGAGAAGATGCCATGGGTCCCTGAATACTTTACATCAATCAAGTAACTTGGGAGGTCTCCATGATATTAATGAAGTCAGTAAATGAAAGTGTGCATATTTTTCAATCAATCATTAGCTCTTGATTACACAAATTTAAATGTCATATTGCAATTGAAATGAAAGTTCATTCATATTTTTTGTGCTAAAATTCATTATGTATGATAGAGGAATTTGTTCATTAGTTTATTAAATTTTATAAAATACTACTATCTTAATTTGTGTTTTATATCACTTATACTGTAGTTATAATTTAGATAAATCATCTACAACTTAGTTAAGATCTTTGTGGAGGACACTGTAAGGTCCAGTGCTTGGGTCCTTACAAACTAGGAAGCAAATCCCAAACTTTCCTGAGCCAAACATCAAATTACTCTGATTTTGTTGTGTACTGTACTTCATTATTTGTCTAAGTGTGTGTATGTGTCTGGTTTACTCCACCTTTTCATGTTCATTTACCAAAGAAAAGAAAGAGCAAATGAAATTGGGGTGTTTTAATATAGATGGATGTAATCAGGGTAATAAGGAGAGACTAATAAAAATATGATAAGTGAAATGGCTCTGGACGTTCTGAAGGGCAAAGGAGAGGTATGCTGTGGACAAGTGGCGGTGTAAAGGTGGGAGAATCTGAGAGAGTAGGAGTTAAATAATGAGCGTTGTTCAATAAAAAAATGTGTTTTGTGGTAGAAAATAAATATGATAATCTCAGAATATGTATATCAGATTAAAAGAAAGGTGGGTTATAATAAAGTAATTATAAATGCACCAGGAAATGACAAAAGGGAAGGTGAAAGAGTGTGTGGTTCCTGTCTTGAGTGGCATTATCTTACATGGGTTGGTATACCTGTAGTTTTTCACAATGGTCTTAGAATATTTAGTTTGTTGTCAATATACAGACTTAAATCCTTTTCACATCTCACTTGAGTTAATGTTTCGTGGTCAGGTTGGGTCATGTGATACTTCTCCTTATTGATGCACTATCATGAGCTTAGCCCGACAAGATACACTATAATATTTACGGTTTATTCAGTTTGTAAGTCTGTCTCTTAAAATATTATATTATTCAATTCACTTTTATCACTCGAGGTCATTTTCTTTATATTTTAAAGTGAGTCATTTGACATTTCATCTTTAACTACCGGTAGGCTTGTAGTGGACGTCTTCCCTACAACTGCCTACAACTGCCTAGCCGCAGCCACCAGCTGCTACCGTCTTCCCTAGCAACCAAACTAGCGGCCCAGAGGGGGGCGTCACCAGATGCCGCAGTATCTTAGCAACGGAACCAAAGACCGGCGACTTTCTCGGGTTTTCCCAACATGACTCATAGATGACTCACGGCTGCTGGGTATATAAGCTCTGTCTCTCCATTGAGATTCATTCTGGCCTCTCTTCCTGAACAAGCAACACCTCCTCCGCCGCTGCCTGGCGGTCCTCGCTCCCGCCGGCGAGCATGGCGACCCACCAGCTGTCCTTCTCTGAGCGTCCTCACCAACCAGCTCTCTCATTCTGCTCTCGGTTCCTGAACACGCAACACCTCCTCCAGCAAGCTCCTCGCTGTCCAGCTTTCATTCAACCAGGAGGCCAGCAACAGGCAACATCTTCTCTAACGAAGCTCCTGCACATCAACCTCCTTCAACACGCTACTCACCGAACGTCTCTACTGAGCAGCTCCTCACCACACGGCACCTCCAGCACCAGACTGTCTATCATATAACTTATATTATACAAGAAAACCACCTTAGAGTTTCCATCCATCCTGAGTGCTAGACACATTATACTATGAAACCCTACAAATGGTGACCCCCGGAGATTCCTACAAATGGTGACTCCCGGAAATTCGCACTCACACAGGATGGAGGAGAAACTGATCACGCTCCCAGTCTTCAAGCAGCATGGAAGACTGGCTTATCCACACAGAAGCAGCTCTGCTACTCTAAGCAGACACCAGCTCCTCTTCCTGCCCCAAGCACCACATCCTACCGACCCCAGCACACCCGTCCTGCCTCAGAAGGCCGACCCCGGCCCAGCAGTCACCCCTGCCGCCCCTGACGCGGCCTCTGTTCCTGAGTGCGGACCCACACACACACCCTCTTTTCTCCCTCAGGTGCTCCCTGCTAATGTCCTGCACCCTGCTGCTGTCGTGGACCCAGCTGCTGTCACGAGCCCTTATCCGCTTCTGCTGACGCAGCCCCTGCTCCTGACCCAGGCCCACACACCCCAGCAGGCGCATCTGACGACTCAGTACCTGCCGTGAGGGAAGCACAACATTCATCGCCTCCACACACACCCTCTTTTCTCCCTCAGGTACTCCCTGCTAATGTCCTGCACCCTGCTGCTGTCGTGGACCCAGCTGCTGTCACGAGCCCTTATCCGCTTCTGCTGATGCAGCCCCTGCTCCTGACCCAGGCCCACACACCCCAGCAGGCGCATCTGACGACCCTGTACCAGTCGTGAGGGAAGCACAACATTCATCGCCTCCACACACCCTTTTCCTACCTCTCTCTTCCCACAGATAGTGTGTATATTGACAGTTGTATTCAGCGACCGGCTCATTCACGCCATCGCCGTTGTCTCACATGAGGCATGCACCGCCCGTTCTGCCTCACATGTGCTAAGCAACTCTACAAACAACAAGTCTCCTACACCGCCTGGAGGGAAGGGGGAGTATTGTAGTGGACGTCTCCCCTACAATTGCCTACAACTGCGTAGCCGCAGCCACCAGCTGCTACCGTCTTCCCTAGCAACCAAACTAGCGGCCCAGAGGGGGGCGTCACCAGATGCCGCAGTATCTTAGCAACGGAACCAAAGACCGGCGACTTTCTCGGGTTTTCCCAACATGACTCATAGATGACTCACGGCTGCTGGGTATATAAGCTCTGTCTCTCCATTGAGATTCATTCTGGCCCCTCTTCCTGAACAAGCAACACCTCCTCCTCCGCCGCTGCCTGGCGGTCCTCGCTCCCGCCCACAGCATGGCGACCCACCAGCTGTCTCTGGCGTCCTCACCAACCAGCTCTCTCATTCTGCTCGGTTCCTGTGTAATGGTCATGATAAGAGCTAACCTGAAAACCTTAAGGATTCATATTACGCTCAAACGTCCACAAAACCTTCCGAGTCCCCCAGTGGAAACGTCCCCCGTTTTCTCTGTTTCCCCCGCCTTTGTCTATGGGAGCAGACGCTGTATGCTGGGACCTGTTGCCATCCATTCCTTTGTAATCAATTTAATTTTGCTTTCGATAGCTGAGTCAGAGCATTGTTAGTGAAGATAATAGTAGAGAATGAAAATGAGTTCATAGTCTCAATTTCAACGTCAGAGGGTACCGTAAATTAATTCATTGGAATAGGAGTAGCTGGACTCCCTGGTCTGTTTGAGTGAGGGCGCCGCGGGCATTTTAACCGTTAGTAAGTGCCCGTCCCTTCATCCATACAGGTATGCCATTCCACGCTGTGTTGTAATTTGCCCTTCTTTAAGTGATTTGACCCAATTAATAGTTGATTGTGCAAGTGTTACAGTAACGTAGTTGATATGCTCTGAGTAAAGTCATATTTACGTCTTTAACGTCCCCTGAAACGTGTTGTTGTTGTCACCAGTTAGTAAGTGCCCGTCCCTTCATCCATACAGGTCCCTAACGCAGCCTAGGCCGTGTCTGTAGGGTGGATGTTGTATCCACTATGTCTGGGGACATGTCCGAGGTCCAGTAGGATCAGTTACCTTCGTGAGACCCGGCCGTCAGACACTTCAGACCACCTATAGCCCCCATAGCTGGCTCGTCTGGCCCTAACGCTCGGTCCACGAGGTGACCCTGGACCACCAAGCCACACACCACTACCAGCCCCCATCATTGGTGGATGAAGGTCTACCTCAGTAGGGCTATATTTGTGTGGTGGAATTAACCCACTGGGATCTCCAGAGTTCGTCGGATAGTACTCCATGGTGGCTGGACCCCATGGCTGTTGCTTGAGTATCACTCCTGACGACTGAGTGTTGTAGTGGCAGTTGCCTAGTATTTATGGTGCTAAGTGACTATCATAGTTGTGCTATTGAGTATGTCCACCCAGTAGGGTTGGAAGTGTATTGAATATGTCCACCCAGTAATGGTGTGAGTATGTTGAGCCTGAGGGCCTAGTAATAGATTTCGTCTGTTAGTACAAACCAATTTTTTCTTCTAATTTCATATTCATGTTTAAATAAACTTTGTATTTGTATAATTGTGTATATTATTTACCTACAGTATTTACCGTTATTTCTTCCCTATTGCTTGATACTATCATTACACCTACCCACGAGCCTCCTATCGTCACGCTACCAATGGTGATATATAAGAGTAACAGGAATTGTTACTGGCACACAGGCCCTCATGAATGGTGGCAGTAGCAGCCCTCATAAATGGTGGCAGCTCAAGCCCTCATAAATGGTGGCAGCTATGGTGATGTAATGAACATAGTATCGAGTTGGGAGGAATGACTGTGATACTGTAGTTTAACTGAGTTATAACCATTTCTCTGTACGGGTATTTAATAACCATTCCACTGTAACTAATGAGTATTTCAGATTGCTAATAATTTTGTTCCATATTTTTCCGAGGTACAGCTTTTTGTGGTGGTTTGCAGAGAAAGTGAAATAAGTTCAAAGAAATACCTTGGAGTTAGGTTAGAAAAAGTCTTGTTTAAAGTAAAAGGAAACCTGCAACAATAACTTGTAGAGTGTGAATAAGGTTCATTAATAGTGGAAGAATTTTGATATGTAACAATCTGCCCAAATTTTTTTTCTGTTGTTAACTCAGTATTACTTACAGACAGTGAATACATGTTTGGGCCGTGGCACTAGTTGTGAAATGTTTCCATCGTGGGAGTGCCCAGTGTTTTAATTCTGAGTGCTAACAGAAGCATTGCACTATATGCAAAGGTTAAGTGGATGCTAATTCTGCATTTGTAATATTCTTTAGTTATGTGTTAGGTAGGATATATATTCCATTTACTTAATATCTCGGGGCATTTTACAGTTCCTACTATTAATATTCCTATGTATACGCTATAATTTTAAAGTTATATTAACCAGGTGCTAACGGGTCATTATTTTGTGTAACGTATGTTATGTGAACTCTAATGCCAGTATACTTTCAGAATACAGTATTATATATGTGAGGACCTTATGGTGATACGGTATATGGAAAATGTTATACAAGTGTATGGACCCAGAATTGTGAGTACGGAAATT